GAGCTTTCTCTAGTTGCGGTGAGCGGGGGCTACTCTACATTGCAGAGCACGGGCTCTAGGCGCATGGGCTTCAGTAGTTGTGGCATGTGGGCTCAGTAGTTGTGGCTCATGGGCTTCAGTAGTTGTGGCACGTGAGCTCAGTAGTTGTGGCACACGGGCTTAGTTGCTCCGCGGCATGTGGGATCTTCCTGGACCAAGAATCCATTTCCCCTGCATGGGCAGGCGGATTCTTAACCACTGCGCTACCAGGGAAGCCCCAGCTAGGTAGCATTTTAGTTCATGATAATATTTTATCTGGGAGACACCTGGTAAAAAAGGTTTGGGATGAAGAAACCCAGAGAAACATTCAGGGAGAAAGAATGAGATAGGAAAAAAACGGGAAACTTCAGATTCAAAGTAAGAGACAGAGCCGGAGAAGTGAAAGATAGGTTTCAAAAAGGAGTTGAAGTTTATGGATAATTTTTTAAGAGCTACAAATTAGAGATGGTAGAGAAAATGCTTTGAGGATCTAAGAGGTATATTTATTCATTCATTAGTTTAATCCCACAAATACTTACTGAGCAACTACTATGTGCTGAGCCCTGTGACAGGCACCATGGACAGAACCACAAACTCATGGTCTTGGAGCTCATAGTCTTAAACAGAAAATAAAGAATTGTGATACATGGTACCCCATCCGGATGGTCTTCCCAATGGCAACTGTTTAACTTCCCTTTATTGAAAAATGTAGTCAAGGTCAGTGGGAGACAGAGCACCATTTCCCTCCCACTCTAGTGCCCTCTTCCTAAATTCTATTTTAGCATCTGAAATGGACAAATTGGCTGAGGAAAGAGAAAATTTTAACTCTTTAACAGACCATGAAAAAAACAGAGCTAGGGACTTCCCTGGCGGTCCAGTGGTTAAGACTCCACACTTCCACTGCAGGGGGCGCCCGTTTGATCCCTGGTCGGGGAACTAAGATCCCACATGCCGCACTGAGGCAAAAAACAAAAAAACAGAGCTAAATCATTATTTCTAAGAAAACGAAATTGCCTTTTATCACCACGCACCGAATAGCTTTCCTGATTGTCCCCTGTACGTCTGTAACGGCAGTGGTCACAGAACACACGGTTCTGGACAATAGACAATACAACTGAACAAATTAGTCTCGAGTGCAAAATAACACTTTCATAACAATGGGTAATTCATGCCTACTTTCTCTAGACCTTTGCCGAACAGAATAACAGTGCAGGCTAATTACACGAGCTGGCTGAAAACTGTGCAGGTCATGAAAAGGCATCCCTCTAAAGAACAGCCGAGAAAAGGTCTTAGCGCCAAATCCAAAACAATAGGAAAAAAGTGAGAGAGCAAACATGAGAACATACGCCCAGGCAATCTCATTAGCACGCTGCAGTTAACCACGTTTGTGGACGCCCATAAACGAGTTGTAAAATTCTCTGCCTTGAAAAACAACATCACCTTCCATGATTAAAGAACTTTCTGCCACGTTGACTGAAGTGCTTTGCTCCAAAGTACAGCTATGGGTCATGGTTACGTTAAGCACTTTTGTCACTTTGCGGAACAAAGACAGTTCGTATCAGAGAGAGAGAGGAGAAGAGAGTCAGTTGAAGCTTTCACACACTGACTCACATGTCGGGCAGGGGAGACAACAGGCTTGTCGCAGGGAATGGGGAGCAAGGACCAATTTTTCCAAGTTCTACTCTCAGGAGGCGTGGTGCTGCAAGACATCTGGAATTTGAGTCCCTCAGGAAAAGGTTCAGAAAGAGCCCAGCAAACAACAAGCAAAACAATGGCTCCAATATGATCAAAACAGACGTGCAGTGCCATCTATAATGCATGAGCTGCTTTACGTCCACCTCAAAATTCAATGTATTTATTGTGCAAGAAAAGAAGCGTTTGCAACTGTTACTTCTGGCCCATCTACCATAAGCCAGGGTCCTAGCAAAAACAGTGGCCTGCTCAAACTGAGTCATTTAAGAAAAGCTTAAAGAAGGCACTTTTCCCAAAGTCCTCGGCTGGATGTAGGAAAATCCAAATACAGTATCAGGGGACCATTAAGAGCTCACCCCTAGGCTGAAGAGTCCAGTGGAGGGAGTGAAGTGAAAAAGAAGAGAGAGAGAGACACTTAACAAAAGTCATGACCTTCAGGCTTCCCTGGTGGCACAGTGGTTGAGGGTCCGCCTGCTGATGCAGGGGGCGCGGGTCCGGGAAGATCCCACTTGCCGCGGAGTGGCTGGGCCCGTGAGCCATGGCCGCTGAGCCTGTGCATCCGGAGCCTGTGCTCCGCAACGGGAGAGGCCACAACAGTGAGAGGCCCGTGTACTGGGGTGGGGCAGGGTTGGGAGATCAGGAGAGGGACCGCTGAGGCCCATAGCACGGCTGCCCGCGTCATGGCGGGGGGGTGGGGGGGCGGGGGGGGGGAGTCATGACCTTCATTAAGGATGTAACACCTTCCTTCAGTCAAGGATGTAATTCGCCTGCAGCAACATCACAAGAGAAAAGCTTCTTTTCATTCCTCCCCCTTCCTGATCCGTTTCTAGGGCTCTCCCCTGAGTCAAATACAAAGAAAAGCAGTTGACAAAGGAGCCAGGAGCCCATGGATGAAGTCCCTGTAGGTCGGCCTCCCAGGGCAAAGCGGGACACAGACCAAACTGTGGTGAAGGGAGAGAAGTGGGTCACGTGCAGCAAATGCAAGTGCGCAGCACAGTGGATTTCTCTAGGACGCTTAGGCCCATCAGCTGGAACTGAAGGAAAAGAAAACAAACATTTCCAGAGGACTATCCATTGTAATAAACTGAGCTAACAGACAGGAACAGACAGGGCTGGACTGTCAAACCACATTTACTCAAATCAGAAATCTTACTGGGTAGCAGGCTTTCCCACTAACTTCAAGGATCCAGGCTGTCGGGAGGCTCAGACAAAGCAGAGGCACCTGGGACGTCCAAGGCGGCCTCCTTGGTCCTGGCTTCCTGCACTGGACGTGCACCTCTGGCCCAGAAGAGTAGGTGAGGTCTCTAAGTGAGGTCCCTGGGTTCCTTACACAGCCGGAACGTTTAAACTAGGAAACATTTCCCTGTACACCTACAGAGCTGGACAGCCAATGTGCTGCTCTCCAAGGAAACCTGCCTCACGGATCCTGGGTTCCATTTAATATAAGTAATTCCTCAGGCAGGGAGCAGACTGCTAGGACATTTCAGTGGACAACGGTCCCTTCCTCCCGGCGAGTATTATTAGTCTATTACCCAAGGTCTAGTTGAAAGGAGATTAGACCAGGCTGCCTACCGCAGTTTCCTTCCGCCCCCGCACCCCCCGCCGCTCTGGGTCACCCTCCAGGGATGGAAGTACATGGATTATAGGCAGCGTTAACTGCTTCCTCCCATAAACAGTTTCTAACATTAAAAGAGAAACAGATATGTATGTGTGTGTGTGTGTGAGAGAGAGAGAGAGAGAGAGAGAGAGAGAGAGAGAGAGAGAGAGAGGGAGACAGAGGAGAGAGAAAGACTGACTGTCAGACTGATTTATTAGGAAGAAAAAGAGAAGGAAAGGGGGTCTCCCTTGTGCAAGACTGCCATGAGGACCCTGCTCTCCTTCTCACCCTGCACAACTTTCCAACTCGGTCAGGCAAGCGCGCAGCGACCTGCAACTCTGATGAGTCCCTTGCAGGGAGATTTACAGGTGCCAGCCCAGGCCCCACCCGAATGCGCATCCCCCCCGCACCACCAGACTCTGCCCCTTCCCGGGACAGCCAAGGCAGCGCCTCTACCATCGGACTCTCAGGCCACGAGTAGCTCTTCCTTGCATGCAGCTCGGAGCTTTTCGAACTCCTTTCCCCCAGTTCGGAGAAGATGGTGCTGGAGACTCTCTGAAATACAGGATCGTCAGCAGGTGTGGGAAGCTGCAAGTGAACCACAGCTGGGACTGGGGCGGGGGTGGGCGTGGGGTCAACCTGTTAACCTTCATGGGACTGCAAGCAGCTCGATACAGGTGTGCGTTTCTCTAGACTAGGGTCCGGAATGCCATGGGGTTCTCAAAAAGAGTCAGGGCCTAGAAAAGCTGAGCTGGTAAAACTACACGGAGTGTCTAGTGAATGTGGATTCAGGGACAGATACGCAGAGTCCCCAGTGCCAGGGTCGGACGCTGGTCTGCACTGTTCAGCCCCTCACCAACCTCCTCACCCGACGGAGCTTCTCCAAGTCCAAGGTCATGCCTCCATGTGAAGTCTTTTTTTAAAATTTTTATTGGAGTATGGTTGCTTTACAATGTTGTGTTGGCCTCCACTGCACAACAAAATGAATCAGCCAGACACATACAGATATTCCCTCCCGTTTGGACTTCCCTCCCATTTAGGTCACCACAGTGCATTAGGTAGAGTTCCGTGTGCCCTACACTATGTTTCCATCAGTTGTCTACTTGATACACAGTATCAATAGTGTATATGTGTCAATCCCAGTCTCCCAATTCCTCCCACCCCCACCCCCTTTCTCCCTTGGTATCCATACATTTGTTCTCTACATCTGTGTCTCTATTTCTGCTTTGCAAATAAGATCATCTACACCATTTTTCTAGATTCCACATATATGCATTATTGCCTGATATTTGCTTTTCTCGCGAACAGTCTTATTTTCCAAATGATTTCAAAGACGCCGTGAAACATTTTTTTGACACTTACAAAACACCTATTTTAAAAGTAAATGAGGGCTTCCCTGGTGGTGCAGTGGTTAAGAATACACCTGCCAATGCAGGGGACACAGGTTCGAGCCCTGGTCCGGGAAGATCCCACATGCCGCAGAGCAGCTAAGCCCGTGCGCCACAACTACTGAGCCTATGCTCTAGAGCCCGCGAGCCACAACTACTGAGCCCGCACGCCTAGAGCCCGTAGCCCCCGCTCACCACAGCTAAAGAAAGCCCGCACAGCAAGGAAGACCCAGTGCAGCCATAAATAAATAAATAAAGTTCCATTTTTTAAAAAAATTACATTAAATGCAAAGAGTAGAACTTACTTTCTCGTTTTGTTAGATAAAGTCTCCAAGCCTGCTTGCAGATTTTGGCATCTCTCTGTCGGCGGGAGGAACTTCTCGTTCAGATATGTGCTGTTTTGTGAAAGAGATTAAAAAAGAGATTGATTTAAAAGGAGAGCTTATGAGATACGGTTAACAAAAAGCAGATTTAATTGATAAAGTGGGCCCAACTGAGGTCTGATTTTCATCCCTTTATTGGATTTCTCTGTGGAAAAGGAAATTGATATTTTCACCTGCAACAATGGGTCTAAATTAAAAAAGAAAAAGGAAAGTTGACATGATAAAGTCAAACAGAAAAGAACATTCCATGGGGGACTGTATTTTCATGTTCTCATATTTTGAGGTTAGTATGTACAATGAGCAATTATTGATAGTTTTAATCATTGTGTGTGTAAGCAGGCTTTATTTTTAAAAGATGTCTCCGGCTAGGAAGCATGCAGACACAGGATATCAGTAATTCTCTCCCAAAAGAAGGCAAGATAAATCTGGCCTTTGATTATTACAGTAGCTGTGAATATAAGGGTCTGTTGCTATTTTTTTATGAACTTGGAAAAACTGGAGTTGGAACAAAACCAAATCACAAAGCGAGTTAAGGAAATGGGTCATGGAGTCCAGCTGCCTAAGGAGCCTTGTGGACACATGTGTGCTACTGAACTGATTGAGGCCTCTGTTTCTGCATCTCTAGTCCTTACCCCATTGTGCTATTGTCATGATATATACACGATAGAGGAAACAATGAAAAGCACCTGGTACCACGCCTACCACAGTAAATGCTCAAAAAAATATCAACCACCACATTCCCTAC